ATTAATTTTGTTGTTGCATGTCAAAATAGTATTTTATCACGAACAATTTTGGACCAAAAACACCAGAATACAAATTGTTTATCTTTTTATTACAAAAACCTTCTTTATTGAAATGATAAAAATCAGATTTTAGGGCTTAAACGATAAAATTTTTCAAGCGAGAGATTTAAGACACAATTGATGTTGTTGGGTAGTGGGTGGGCAGATACACTAACTATAGAGCCATGTATACATACGTCTCTACCACTTTATAATGAGTCGTCATTTCTTTTATTTTTTTTATTTGGGACTGGTACAGCGTCTCAATTTAGTTTCGTTCTACTATTCTGAAGTTATTTTATATTCAGAAGATAAAATCCACGAGGTTCATTACGCACTTCATTGTTTATGTAAGATAATTTTAATTTTTTACTTCCTTCTACTTCATTTCCTCTGCGGTGAAAGTGTTCATTTGCTGAACAATTGCAGACTGATGAGTGGATGATGGTGATTGGGCGATGATGATGATGATGATGATGATGATGGCGTAGTGGTAGTGATGATGATGAAAAGGATATGATGATGATGGTGGCGTGGTGGTGATGATGATGAGAACGATATGATGATGATGATGATGATGATGATGATAATAATGGCGTGGTGGTGGGAATAATGATGACAACAACATGATGATGATGGTGATGGTGATTAGAAGAAGAATGGTAATCATGTGGTAAAAGTTGGCCTAATAAATGATAAAAAAGTAGCACCGGATGTTTATGAGTTTGATATTGAAATTGATATTGAAATATTTTTCAGAAATTGTTTGAATTGGACTCTGCATATTTCATTCACCTACGTGTATGATATAAATGCAATCAATGTTAAAAAACTTCCTTGAAACTTATGCTTCAAAACGTTGCGTGGTTTTGAATGTTGCAGGATGTTAATTAGTACCTACGTAAAAACTGAGCTAGCTGTTGCAACGATTGCTCTATTGAGTATCACCTCCGAATTTATTACCAAATTTTTATGCTTGCTGTGGAAATGTATTAATTGTCCAAAATTGTTGATCGCTATTCCATCGGAGTCCTGCTGATGTATTGCCAACATTTATAGGATCGATACTCTTTTGTTCTAATACAAATTACCAATTTTTTTTTACATTTTTTCCTGTCCCTGTGTGTGTGTGTTTGTGTGTGTGTTTGTGTCTGCGGCATGTCTTTTGTGCATGTGTGTGCGTGTCTGTATTTATTTATATATTTATATTATATATTTGTATATGTGTGTATGCGCAATTTGACATAGTAACTTTCCATGAACTAAAAAATTTTCAGCATACTACGAATTAAAAAATTATACATATAAAACATTTGAAAAATATATTTGGACATGCTAAATTTTTTCAACACTAACTAATCAACATAACTCAGGCCAGAATATTTCTATAAAATTTTTATTCAAGTTAGGCATGGTTATGAGGTTTGTATGATTTTTTCGTATTCTGCGAATAACGGCACGAGACTCAACTTCTACAGTCACACGGCAGATGTACGTACGCATTCAAATCCGCAGAATGGATCATTCGAATATTACTGAAACAAACGAATTAAAATAAAATGCTGATAGGAATGGCAAACCTCTGGGCAAAACTTCTAATTATATATATATAAACCATAATCACAAATATAAAGCAAATATTCCATTGTGTCATGTTAAATCGTGAAAAATCTATTAAAAACATCAGAAAAAATGATATTTTTCATGTAGGGGAAATGAGCGCTACATAATTAATTTCTTCCACTCGGTTTACATCGCCGTTCATCTCCATCGCTACATTATTTAATCACCCAGTCGTGCTTAGAATGGCCAAACAAAATTTTAACAACTTCTCCATGAAAACCTCATCTTAGTATCTTCAGTCTCAACCGTTTTCGTCACTTTGCCACCATCTTCATCATCATTCATCATCATCGTCATCATTCATCATTCATTCATTTCTAATTATCATTATTATTTATCATTATTTTAAAAATTATATGTTGCGTGTATTTGAACTTTTTTTCAAGTTTGTTTATTTTTTATTACCCGAATATGATTTGACTAAATTGTCTGAAAATGTCATTATCACTAGAATTTTTATCATCATCCATGAAATTGTCATAATTTTCACCATTTAAATTATCATCGTAACCATCCTTTTAAAATCATTATCTTCTCTAAATGATTAAATTTATCACCACTTTTAAAATTAAAGCTTCTTAATTTTGTCAAAAACTACCATCATCACCATCATCTCTAGAGTTATCACCATCATCACCATCATCTTTAGAGTTATCACCATCATCACCATCATCTCTAGAGTTATCACCATTATCACCATCATTTTCGTTATCATCGACCCACTAACCACCACTGCTAGCTTGTCATCTTCTATCTGCTTAATACTCAGCAGCCCACTACTAAATTGGAAATTCTTCGATGAAAAGATGTTTGCTGTTTTGTTGTTGTGTGTTCTCTGAGTGCATGTGTATGTGTGTGTGTGGATTGTGTGTGTGGCGATTGTGTGTGTTGTTGTTTATGTGAAATGTGCTGTTGTTGTGTTGTTTTGTGTTTCGTTTCGTTATGTTGTCGTTGCTATGTTTTCTTTTATCATGTCGTTGTGTTGTTTGTTGTTGTCGTGTGTCAGTTATGTGTGTTGTGGTGATTTGATGTGTGTTGATGTTTTTTTTCATGATGCCAAAAAATTTGGCAATGACGATGATGACGAGAATAATTATACTGATGGTGACCTCCCATCCAGCGGTTGATGCAATTAATGTGATGACGAGTTAATCGTGTCAAAACAACTCGTCTGCTCTGATTAATGATGCGAATCGGTGTGGCGATAGTGTTATGCTATCCATGCCAAGCCTACTTCCATAACCACACCTGTACCTATAATGAACATTTAATGTATATGACCAGCTGGTTAGTTTGATTTATGACCAGTATGGCCAGTTACATATGACCAGTTTGGCCAATTTGTTACATATGACCAGTTTGGCCAATTTGTTACATATGACCAATTACTTAGTTTAACTGTCCTGTCACTAAGCGCTCGATTTCAATTAATTTAGAGATTGACGCTTAGATATTTTACACAATTTTACATTGATAATTGCTTAATCTTAATTATTTTAATATTAATTTAATTTTAAAATAACAAAATTTTTATGTTACAACGATTTTGGTTTGGAGATTGAAAGAGTTGTAATAATGTAATGTAATAAAATGTAATTAATTAAGAAGTATGGGATTAAAAACTGCACATCTCACTCAAGTGAAATTGTAAGAATATCTTTTTTGTAACAGAGCGCTATTTGAACATTTGAAAAAAATTAAACAACTGGAAGAAGTAAAAAATCAAAGAAGAAGTGAAGATAAATGATAATTAATTAGTTGATCAGAAGTGACGACGATGAAGGCTGCTGAACTCCTCAAGTTCGATAATGCGGAACACACATGCACGCTGCAATGAATGATGGCATTTAAAAGCATCCTCGGTACATCGTTAGAGCCGAGCTGTCAAAACATTCACAACACTTTCAACCAACATAATCTCATGAGACACCTTCTTTTTACATGCTAAAAATTTCTAGCGTTCCCTTCTGATGTAACATTTCAGTCCATTTACCTGTGCTTTGTTCAATGCAGTGCGAGCAAATATGCAATATTTAATTAAAAAAAGAGTTTTTAATTATTATTATTCTGATTAACGAACCGGTAATTGTTAGTGTTACCAAACAACAACAATAACACACGTTTAGACGACATTTTCCCCGAGATCGGGGGTTGCCGTTTGGCTACCTATGATGAAACCGAAATACCCCTCGACGCTATTCTACCGGATACTGAGGGTCATTGTCACTTCTGTCATCATAAGTAATTTATTTGGCTAATTTTTACGCAGGACGCCCTTCCTTACGCAACCACAGTTATAAGCGGTGGGCCTAACCTTTGATGATCCAACATCACTCACAAGGCAGTGAGGGTCAGTTTAATGTCATAACCAGGACAGTGTCATAACCAGGACAGTGTTAGTGTTACCAAAGTATTTGAAAAATGAAGCAGCAGAATTTTATTAGATATTTCAGCGAGTATAATAGCCTAACTACCTAGCATCGTGGTACCTGATATAAAACGAATAATTTTTCGTTCCATTCATTGGAAGTCGTTGGTGAAGTGCTAACTTACATGCAACGCCAGTTGTTGCTGTTGTTCATAATTATTATGGAATAACGGAATACGTGTATTTATTTTATGCATGTGTCGTTGTTCAACGTTAAAATAATGTGAATAGTTTGCTTATTATTGTTGTTGCTGCTTTCAAATGTTTTTCAATATTCCGTCCCATATAAGCAAATTGTTTTTACATAAAATTTTCTCATCGACGAAGTAAAACAAAAACAATTGTAGAGCACACTTGTTCTTGCTAAATTACAATTCAGACGATGTTTTGCCTAAAGCAAATATTCAGTGGCCAGTTTCTACATCCCGAGCAAACTCTTTTTGATGTGAGAAGGAGCCACGCATATTTAGAAGCGATCAACTTCAAGTGCCATCGTCTGCAGTCCCAGTCAGACACGTTCGTCCTCTTTCTATTTCAACTTTTCTTGTGTCGGTATAGCTTATCTGGGGTTGGTTTTGCTCAATTATTTCTTGAGTTTTTAAATATATCAGAATCCTATATTGAATATTTTTTATTTTGTGAAAAAACTATTTGCATAAAATTATTTATTTGGATCAGATCATTTTCTAAATTAAAATTTAAGATTTGAAAATCAACCTTCATTATAGTTCAAATTTCGCTACTTAACAGCCAAAATTAAATCAACCAATGTAGTTTTCCCAGATTCTTCGTTGGCAAACACTGTTTAGCATGTGAACAAATTAAATGAACTTAAAAACTGAAGACCATTTCACCTAACTAACAAACTAAGCACGAATTCGCTCAACATTTCTCTTCATTTTTAAGAAAATTAACAGAAAAATAGATTTTATTATTTTTATAAAATTAAAATCAAAACGGTGTGAATGTGGTGGAAAAAGTTGTTAAGGAACGATGAACGTGCTATTGTAGAACGAGTGTATAAAGACGCTCGCAATAGACAATATACACAGAGCATTCAATATTTATTAAATAAATTCGGTTCGCAAATATAATAATCAAAAATAATTTACATTTATTACAAACGATGACAAATCAACACACGCTACATACACACGTAACGGAAGAACGGCACGAAACCAATGTACAACAGCTTACATACATGTACCTGTGAAATGAATAATAAATAGCCTACAATACGATGCGACAATAGACAGACAATAGACAGAACTCAGCGTTAGGTAGAAACATCTGAAACGCGCAATGTTTTTGATAGATGTTACACCGTCTGCCGACAATTTCCTACTCTGGACTGAACACGGAAAAAGTCAGAATCACTAGACATTTACAGAAAAACAAATCCTTCCTAATACGACAGCTGTTTAAGTCACCCATTGCACACAACACACACACACACATACACACACACTGTCCCCATCATTATTTCTCCTGTACAAAAACAGTTTCCATAGGAAAGAGACCGGCTTCCTTGAGAGTTCGCTGACGGGGGTCGGACACATCAACGACTCGTTTCGGGAAGTTGGTGACGATTTCGTGATCCTCAATGTTGTAGCCGTGTTCGGATATGTAGGACAGCAAGGCCTGGGTCATTATCATAATTTACATATTGTTAACTATACACCCACACAGTAACCACAATCACCAAATCATCATCATAATTATCATAATCACGTAATCATCAAAATCACGTAATCATCATCATAATCACGTAATCATCATCACCATCATCATCATACCTGTATCTTGGATGTGCACGGCCATTTGATTTGTTTGCGATCGCCATCTGGGAGCCTCACTATCAAGGAGCTGACCGGATCTGCGTGGATCACGATGGTGACGATGATGATGATAGTGATGATCATGATGGTGATGATGATGATGATAGCAACGATGATGATGACGATGACGGCGATGGTTATATTGTTGAAGCTGGTGGTAATTGTGATAATGATGATCGTGTTGTCGTGTATTGGATTGGTTGTTATAAACCATTGGAACATCGTTACGAATACAAAATGATAATTACCTCGTAAGATGTTTTCTGCGATGAGCATTATTACATAAATGATTTCGTAAAAAATTCAAAAATTATTAAGATTTTGAAACTGGCAAGCAACATAACATGGTAATAAAATGCTACTCTATCTGAAAAAAAATAAATAAAACATGAAGCACTGACCACTAGGCAATCCCAGGAACTGTTGATGTGAAATCTGTTCAGCTGTGGCCGCCACATCGACGTCTGGCTCCTGCTGGCAGCATGCATTCCACGGAATGTCCTTCGGTGCAGAGGCAGAACTGGTCGAAGGGGACAGCGGAGACGATGCGGAGAATGAGGTAGCTTGCGTTGGTGACGAGATTGAAGAAGTGGATAAGGATTGCCTGTCGGAACTAAGTAGGGTAGATAACATTTTAAATATTTTTTTAACTCAATTGTTTCATCATATTCACAGGCTTCAAACAAATACAGATGTAAACACGACAAAAAAATCAATAGCAGTAAAAGTAACGGATGAACAATGAAAAAGTTTAGAAACCTGTTAGCAGGTTTGTTGCTCGCCGGCTCTGAATCTATGTAGCCGTCTTCATCACTATCTTCATCGTCGTCACTGCTGTCGGAATCGAACTCAACGACGTGTCGTTTGGCAGGTCTGGTAGGAGTAGGTGTCATCGTCGTCGATTTGTTGTATCGTATGGACGCTTCAATGGCTGCCCTCATCTGGCTGTCCTCGCTGGCGTCGATTAGGCTGTCCTGTGGTTAGTTACGATGTTAAGTTATTCCTGTTGAGTTGTTGCATTCGCGGAGCGTATGCCGTGCTGAGCTGTGTTAAATTTATAGAATGGAACAGCCCAAACAACTATTGTTCCAAACAATTATGTACAACAAGTCAAACTGTTCAACAAAATTGAAACAAACAAAAAATAAAAAAAGAGAACAAGAATGTACAATTAGATGCTAACACTCTTTTTGCTCTTCTTGGCTGGTGGTGAATCGTCGCATGGGTGGTTGTGGATCTCTAGGAACTCGTTCGCTAATGAATTTTCAATTGTATATTTATTTATTTATTACAACTAATTAACATCATTTATTCATTTTTTATTGTTAATTAACATAAGTAAAATAATCTTTTATATATGTAAAAACACAAGCTGAATGGAGCAAAATTGAAATAACATTATCAGGAAATTACCAGATCTCATAGCACAACTATTGAATAACCAGTGCCAAATGACAAATTCAATAACAATAAATAATTTTAAAATAATAAATTAAGAAAAAAAAACAGAACTAGAAACAAACCATGACTAATGAACGTAGAGGCATCGACCTGGTTGCATTGGAAGAGCAACTCCCCTGTTAATGAAATGGTTAGAGCAAAAAATATAAAATTAAGCCCATAGAAGTGCAATATTTCACATCTTCGTACCAAGATTAATTATATTATACAGTTATATATTAAATTATAGTTATATATTTTAAAATATGTAGTTATAAATTATAGTTATATTATATAGTTCAAATGCATCAGTTTTTATGCTATGAATTAATAATTTTATCCATCAAAAATATTAATTTTCAACCAAAAATGACATCATTATAACCACCATGGTCACAATGATCACCAAAATCATCACCTTCACCACTAAAACAATCAATACTCATCATCTACAGACCTGTCCTAGGGTCAAGGAATGCGAGGTAAGGCCAGTCGAGGACCCTGTAGAACTGCATGTACTTCATGCCCTCCAAGCCATCAGAATACACCTGCAAGTGCGTTTATTATTATTACCGTTATTATTATTATTATTACAATAGTGATAATTATTAAAATTATTATTATCATTATTTTGTTTAGACCGATAGCAGTTGAAAAACATGTATTTACATTTGCTTGCATGCAATCAAACAAAATGGAAATCTACTAAAAGTAGCCTAATCATTTTATCAACATTTCAAGCCTGCATACTAGTATTCATAAGCATGGTATTTATAACAAAAGGAGAGCCCTACAAACCTGCCAGAAGATGAAGTTGTTCTTAACAATGTCCTTCACATCGACCGAACTCCAAACATCTCTGTTGAGCACCTGGCACGGAAACTCCCTGACGTTGTGCACGTTCACCAGCAGCCACTTGTTCTCACTCACTCCTCGCTCTTTTGCCTTTTAAAATATTTTTGAAAGGTTCAATTGCTTAAATAAAAATTTGTATTTTTAAATTCATTTGTAGGTATAGAAATTGTACAGCTTTATAATTGTGAGAGAGAGAGAGGGGGGGGGAGAGACGAGAGGGAGCAGAAAACAAAAAACAAACAGCAGTGAATGTTCCCTTGAAGATGAGATCAAGAGGAGGTCTGAAGAGTTCGTCGAGTGTCTGCCTCCTGTTCTGGTAAGACGATGGTCCCGGTATGGCATCCCAGTTCTCTTGTGATTCAGGTATCGTCGGATGGGCGGGTTCTTCCACGTGGTGCCCTTCAAACATTTCAATGACTAAATGCATGATCAACAACGTGATTGTTGAGCAGAAGTAAACAAAAAGTTGGTGTGAATTAATTATGTCAATATATCATTATTTAATTATTTAGTTATTTTATGAAAAATTAATTCTAAAAAATTAAATAATTAGAAATGAAATTAATTAAAAAAACAAGACATAAATAAACAAAAAGTTGATGTGAATAAATAAGTCCACTATAATATTGTATAGTTATTTTATGAAAATTAAAATCCAAAAAAATATGATAAAAAATAAAAATTTGATGAATTAAAATGAACAAGAGAAGAAAACATACGTGACTCCTCGGAAAAATTTCTCATCGGGTCAAAAACTGATGAGGCCAGTCGTCTTCTGTCCATTCGAGAAGCTGATAAATATGCTTTTTTAAATCAGAAGTTTCAGTTATTTAGTTAGGCTCTCGGTGAAGTAATTAAATATTTGTTTAATAATTTTATAAAATAGCATTAGAAGCAAATGAATAAGCATACCCATATTGTCCTCCTCGTCAACCAAAGTCTCGCTCCTTGCTGGAATCGGAGCCCTCACCTCATCATCTCCACTGTCAAACAATCATTCAAAATTAATTTACATTTAGTATTATTGTATAAAATATTTCAATTAATAAATAAAAAATACATTTTAAATAAAAAAATAATTTTTATTCCAATAAATTATTACACAAATTTTTCAAGGCAAATAAGAAAAACAAACTTCAAGCTGCTTCTGTTATTGCCATTGACATTTTCCGAGTCGTCGTTGTGGTTGCTGTGAATGGGCGGTCGAGCATAGTTGCCACCGTTGGAAAAAGTTCTGGGTGCCGGTTGACCGCCATCCAGGTACATTCCAACGGCCGCTTCCAGGTTATTTCCACATGCATCGAGGAAATGGGTTGCCTCTTCTAGAGTTGCGCCTATTGAATCATTAAAATAGTTTCTCTTAGAGCTATAATAACTCAATTTATTAAGGTTTTTATTGAAGCCATTTAAAAAATTTAACATTCTAAAACATTTTAAAAGTAAAATTACTTTAAATTAAATTTATAGGTATATTAGTTGTTCTTAGCCAGATGTATGAAAACTAATATACCAGCCTATCAATTTTTATAACAAAGTAGTCAAGAAAATGAGAATTTGCCTACATAAATTGCTTTAATTAAAACTGTTGCAGTATACATTATAAAAAATTTCAGAGTAGCGAACCAAGCTTAATTTTTATACAAAGTATTTAAGAAATGGGAAATTATTTACGAATATGCTTATTTATAATTTTAAAACATTTTCAATATTTTTTTAATATCATGAATAAGTACTATAATGAATAAATAAATTCATTGTTGATTTTTGATTGAAAAAAAAACTAATCATTCATTCATTTGTGTTGTAATTATTAAAATGTATGAATGAAGTAACAATATCAATAATAATAGTTGGTAGTTGGTCAAAAATTAGCATCAGAAAAAATTTGATTTCTGTTCAGTTCAAATTGAATTCATTCAAACAACTTTTCATCTTCATAAACATAATCATTTTTCATGTCAAAATAATTTATGTTAGGGTCTGAATAAACCATGAAGCGAAGTTTACAAATTGCATGGTAAAAAAAATTTAATTGATTAAATTAGAAATGTTTTCATAGATTGAATACGCAAGTAAAACAATGGAATCAGCCATTATGAGCACTGATACTACCATACTGGAGAAGAGTAAAATTAAATCTATTACAAAAATTAATCATTAATGATAATAAATCTACTAACCCGTAACCATGCAGAAACGACTTGCAACGTTTTCTTCCGAATTTTCAATTTCCGAAAACGACGCCATTAAAACTTTAATTCGCTAATTAAATTTCAATGAATTAGAAAATAAAACCCACTTTTTCACTGATTCAACAAAACAGTTTTAGATTCCGAATGCGTTCACTTTTCAAAAATAAATAAGCTATCAAAGACTACGTATAGCAAGACTTGATCGATGTAGACTCCTGTGGAGAATGTCGAGCAAGGTTGTGAACGAGTGCAAGGACTCGTTTATTTATACCCAACCGGACAAAGATTTTACAAGCTGTACGAATATTAAAGATCAAAAACATATGAATAAATTATATTTAATGGCGTTGTAAACTTTTCTGTCTATGGTTCCATAATATACATGGATATATATAATTATATATATATAATTATATTATATATATATAATAATAAATAATATTAATAATAATAATAAATATAAATATAATTATAAATATGGATATAATTATATCCATGATCATATATCTTTATAGTAAAGCGTAGACACTATAACAAATTTTTTTTAATTATTTTTATGAAATAAGTTTGCCGATTGCTTTTTTGTAACATGAAAGCCAAAATTAGTTTGGCGGCCAAGACCTTATACAATATTACGGTGTATATTTTGTATATTTGTGTAAAAGCTTAAGATAGATGCGGTTTAACATATTTATATTTTAATTTAAGCTCAACGTAATTATACTATCATGTACACTTATATCTAATTAGTTTAATAGTTCAAATTAATTTGAAATGAATTTATTTTTACAATCATGATCGGAACATGAATGTGCTCTTTTGAATTGGTCGTATTTTTCGATATCTTTAGTTAATTTACGACGTTAATATTTAAGGACATCTGCTATAAAAAAAAACCCATTATAATAAGTTGTTGGGTCAGTGATGCTGTAGAACAATCCAACTGTCGTTTCATGATTTCTGTAATAATGTCGATAAGAATTGAGCTGACGGGTTTTCGAAGTCTGTCGAATATGTGGCGGGTGGTTTTGAGTGCAAGTCAAACTGGTGACCAGCGAGGTGCTCTTCATACTGATGACCAGATAGCTGTTTCATATACAAATCAAACTGATGACCAGATAATTAGTTCTCTTCCAAATCAGACTGATGACCAGCTAATTTCTTTACGTGCAAATCAAACTGATGACCAGAAAACTATGACGCATGCAAATCCAACTGATGACCAGTTAGCTACTACACAAGTCAATCAAACTGATGATTTGCTAATTATTTCACGTGCAAATCAGTAATCATCAATTAACCGCTAATTAAACTGATGACCAGGAAACAACGGGTAATGATCGTCAAGCGGTTACATTTAAAGGGCAAAATGTTTAGACAAGCCAAATGCAACAGTAACGAGTGCAAATAATGCTATATTTTTATTATATCTTTTAATCTTGCATTAAATGACTGCCAAAAATTTTGAGTTTACGATTTTATTTTCTTCATCTTATTGAATAAAGTTGTTTGAAACTATTTTAAATTCAGTGTCTTATATTCAAATACAATCTCGATAGCTAACATTCGGTTATAATATTATGGATCTCGATGAAGTAGAGTTCGAATGTCGTGTGGGATTGATTTGAGGAGGTCATTCAAAATTCATAGTGTCATCAGTATAAACAGTTGTTAATTTATTCACGAATTAACAACAAACTATCATTAATTTAGCATAGTTTCAAACTTCGTATTGTAATTTTTAAAATGGATTTTTTAAAAAACCAAGTGAATATTATGTTATCGTGAGTCAAGATGCACAGCTTCATGATCATTAAAAACCATCGAGACGGGCTGATTGAAACGTCCATGGCCCATCAGTTTGACCACCTCCTATAATAGGGTAGTGGATGAGTAGATGAATAGATAGATACTAAGATGGATAGTTAGATGGATAGATAGGCAGGTAGATAGCTGTTTCTCATCACTGAACTGTCTTTTAATCGTTTATCTTAACAGAACATTCCTGGCTCTTTTTGTCTCGCTTGATAGGAAGAAGATGTAAATCATGTTAAATTTTTTAAGATTATTGTTACTATAAAGACTTTTCGTTTAATCATGTTTTAAAATGATACAATCAATAAATTTACTTAATTTAAAAAATGTTACTACTGTGAATTCAGTTTCTAATAACTTTTTTGAAAGTTTTATTAAATATTTTTCTTATTTTCAAAGCTGTTTAAGGATTATAATAAATGAACTTGTAAAATAATTTATTTTCCACATTTTATATGAATTTTCTTCCATATTCTCCATGTTAAAATTTGAATTTGATGAAATCCCTAAATTTTCATCAATTAATTAAACGCAGTTTTTATTAACTATGTTACGAAGTAAAATTGTTAGTCATATGTACATTAAATGCTACAAATTTTATTTGTTTCAATAATTTAAACGTTCAATATACTTATAATTGTTTTAAAAATTAAAATTTTTCAACTGTTCATTGGAGTGAATTTTTCCATCTAATTATAAAATATAATACACTACATTTAGGTATAGAGGAATCATATTTTAAAAATATAATTGTTTGAGTAATAATCTTTTAACATACAAAACACATAACATTCAATTGCATAAAAATCGATCTTCAAACTATGGAAGATGAAGAGTATTAAAATTTAAATGAAAATTAACTTATACATCTTCATGTAAGCCAGTTTGTACGTGTTAGTGTGTGTGTGTGTGTGTGTACAGGTGTATGTGTATACATACTTGTACATATGTGTATGTGTATGTTTCAATTTATTTGCTGAAATATTGATATAGTATCATGTTCAAGTGTGGAAGATGGCATTGCAAATATTTTGCATCCTGAATGTCATTCATTTATGAACGTACCACAATGTTGTGAATCTCAATTTTTAATTTGGATAATAAATTTACAAACAAATGAAACACTTTTCAGGCTTTGTTTAAATTTTATTAAAAAGTAGAAACAAAATGATGTTTTTTTTAAATAAAATTGTTTTTGGATGACAAAATTGAGAAATCTGAGAATTCCTTTCGTCAGCTTGAAATTGTTCACATCGAGATATGTTATGCTTATTTAAATGACACACGGAATACGAGTAAATTTTTTAAAATCTAAATAAAAATTAAAAATAAAATGAATAAATAAAGAAATAAAAAAACGGGAGAGAAAAATAATTCACAAATGAATATTCTCCATGTTAATTTATTCTCATTAATAAAAGTAATTATTATTTGTGATTTGAGTGGCATTGTTGGAGCTTCATTGAAATTAACCATAATTTTCGGTTTCTTTTTGAAATAAAGTTACTTATTTAAATTTAATATTTGTCTTAAATTATTATTATTACACAAAAAACTTGTTTAAAAAGCTTACCATATAACATATTTCAATAATGGTTCATTCAAGTATTCTCTATTTTCCATTATGTTACATTGCTTGTCACGGATTCAATTGAAAGCACTTCATGATAACTTAATCGTCTAAAAGTTTTAAAGCGTCTTAAACAGTGATAATGTTTAAGTTTGAAACGAGCAAAATGCAAGTTGTTTGAAAATTTTAAAATAAAATTATGGAACAAAAAATTATATACAAGTCTTTATTTTTCGTCGCCCGATTTGCTTCGTGTGTTCCTTCAATATATAAGTTGATAAGTGTCGAAACTTTCAACAAATGAACGTCAAATTAAATCTTCTTTCGCGATGTAAATTTCAGTTGAGAATGATGGCATTAGGCCTTGTCGATTGGATATTAAAAGTGTTCATTTGCTTACAATGATATGGATGACTGCATAGTTTAATGGTTGTTTTGACACGATACCCAATGGTAAACATAATGAACGTTGGATATGTTGATGCTGTTGAGATTGCTGAAGTTTTTGTTTAATTTCGTTGTTGATGTTTTTGTATCTGTGCTGTTAATAAAGTTGATTTTGTTGTGGTTGGAAAAACTTTGGTTTTGGAACAGATGCTGATGTTTTTGGCAATGATGATGGCGATGACGACGATGGTCCAAGGGATGACGTGTTTGTTGATGATGTCAAGTTTAACGATGATGATGACGTTGCTATGATTGAAGTTGACGGTGATGCAGAATGAGAATCTGATGCTAATGATGGTGATCGAAAGCATGGTGGTGACGTTATTGATGATAATAATGAAACTGTTATACGTGATGATGATGACAATGATGGTGATGATGATGGTGACAATGATGATGGTAACAAAGATGATGATGATGATGGCGGGAAAGAAGTGGAAAAAGGAATAGATGATGATAATAACAACGAAGGCTGCGTGTCTATCGGCATTGATGATGATGGTGAAGATGATGGTAATGATGATGTTATTAGAATTCTTGTTGCTACTGGTGTCATAGACTTTGATGTTGTTATACTTAAGAAAGATGATGATGACGACGACGAAGATGATGGGGATTTCGGTGATGATTGTCTGGATGATGGTAATTTTGGCAATGATGAGGGTTTAGTTAAGTTTGTAATATTATTTGTGGCTGTTGAAACAAATTGAAGTGTTTCATTTTCCGGTAGTGTTGGAATCAAGGTGTGCACAGTTGAAATTAGCGTTGTTGTTTGATATATTGATGTTGTTGGTGAAACTGCTGATGTTCGTGTTAACGATGTTGTTGTTGTTGTTGCCGTTGTTGATGTTGCTCTAATTGATGAAACATTTGTTGATGTTACGAATGACGTTAATGTTGTTACGGATGTTAAATTTGTTGCTGGGGCCATTATTAATGTTGATGTAAGATGGGCTGAT